ATAACAAGATAGGTTATAGACCCATATAGAGAGTTGATGTTAGCTACTTCTTAGAAACTTTGTGTGCTTTTGCAAGTTGGTGTTTTGTTTCTTTTTAAGTAAACCTTAACAAACCAGGAAGCTCTTCTGGAATCTGGGCTATCCATGTGTTCCCATAAAGCCATCAATGGGTGCAGAGCTTTCATGAACAACTAGTATTACTCTTACCTGTTGCCCAATATCAATAACAAAAACATGTAACCATTGTGAAATATTAGATGATTATTATAATTATCTGTTTATATGATGATTATAATATTATCATTCAAACAAGTTCAGAATGATGGTTCTGGCTTTTATAACTTCTGTTTTGTTTTTCTAGAAAGTGCATGAGGATGGTGTTCCAAAATGCTTTCTGTAAATAGCAACAGAAACAGTTGTTGAGGCTGGTAAAAGAAAAAAATAAACAAGACAAAACTCAAGGGTGGCCTCTATTCCAGATTATATCCACACAGGATTGATGAATTTACAGACAGATGAGAATACCAATCTGAATTTAGAGGGGTACGTGCATGTATTGTGTCTATAATTTTATAAAGCATGTCAGTATTCAGGCACAGCTTTGTGCTTTTTTCTTATGAACCTATTAATGTGCAGCCTGTGATGTGTTTGTCCTCTCTAATGGAAATCCTCCGATCCCAGAGGCTCTCTGTATTGCCACTTGTGACATTTGATAAATCTTTTGGGTGCTGAGTGGTAACTCCTTACAGGGTAGTAATTAGAAGTGTGACACAAATCTGCGCACATCCAAGACACATTTTCCATCTTAGCTAGTGTGTTTCTGAAACAAAAAAAAAACTGGACCATGAAACAAAAGGTATTTTGTAATATAAATACAGTACAGTAGTGAGCAATGGTCTGTTTTTTCTTGTGTTCTGAAAACCAGTTTTGTACCTGTGTAGTTATCACAAGGTGGTGAGAAACATTGACAAGCCTGGACTTAAGGAGTGGAGATTTCATCTGTTTTTTGACAGCATCTCCTCTCTTTTTACTCCTCATCATTTTAGAGTTTCTGTAAATTGGATTAATTAGCTCAAAATCACTAATGATAAAGCACATTTGTGGGCATTTTTTGTTTCCCACTTTTTGCTTTCAAAGAAAAGGAGGCAGGAAATTAAAACAAGTCATCAGCAGTGCTGTTTGCATAAGCAAAAGAATGAGGAACAGAAAAAGGTGAATCTGGAAGAGTAGGCAGATTTTGCTGCCTTTGTCTGAAACAAATCTGGAAAGCGGTGGGAGTAAAATCGAAAGTAACATTTTTAGCAAAAGTATACAAAATGTACTGTATTAACTTACTGCCATCTAGTGGTGGCAAACTGATTTTATTTAAAGTTCGGTTCAGAACTGAAGGAAAATGAAGAAAACACCACTAAGGCCTATATTTATCATGCACTGACAGGGATATGCATGAAACGGAATTTACAGTACAATATAGCCCAGCAGATGATAATGCAGTGGCAATATAAGCATTGCATGCCTGTGTAGCAACAGAAAGAAAAACTATTTACCCCCTGTAATGTTGCCTGATTTTAAAATGTAGATTGAGATATCATAACTTTGTGTTGTATTGTGGGCTTATATTACTCATTATTTCTAAAATGTACTAATGTACTAAAATGTGGTATTAATCATCCAATCAGGATTTAGAATTACAAATCCCCGTAACTGTGTCACAGTATCTTTAATAAATTCTTGTCATTTGAGGTTTATTAAGAGCAGAACGAACTCTCTAAGCAAAACTGCTAAAAACCAGTACCAGGACTGCCATCTAAACCAGTCTTGAGAAACTCTTAAGAGTTTAAGCTCTGTTTGTAAGTACTTATTCAGAAAATGACATTGCAAAAGTTCAACATTTTTTGTCACAGTACATATTATTTTGTTTTTAATGTTCTTTTGTATATTACAAAGAGGAATATTTGCACCCTAACAGAAAAGCACTCTGTCATGGTCTTGTACAAGCTCTGTTTTCTGAATGAGACATTTGCACATTCTTTATAGGCTATCAGTTGCCATTAAGTTTCACCTGAATGAATATCTAATAAAGTCACGCAATGCTTATGAACGTATCTAACAGAGATGAGAAAACAACTTCATACAGAACACCACCCACACAGCTCCCCCAACAACTCTAAAACAGCACTAGATAATTATTAGACAAACATTTGATATGGTTTCAAAAGGTGTTATTTTCTTAATATTATTAAAGTATATTATCCTTCTTGAGTCTTAGATTATTGCTCATTCACTTTCTCCACATAAACTATGCGAAATAGTTTGTAATTTGGTTAGTTGGAACTACGTTTTACGTTTCCAGTGGTTATGGAAAAGGTTTTCTTCCCTGAAGAAATATATATGCAGGACATATTTTGGTTCTTGTTCATTTTAGGAGTGACTCGCGGGTCTGGCCTACTTTATACTTCTGCTGCTGGGAGTGTAAACTGAAAAAATTGCTGTAAAAAAAGAGGTGTTACAGACAAAAGCAGGCAGCTCAGGAAACAGGGTAAATGCTTAAAGGACCACGTATGACCAATAAAAAGGTTTTTGTGTAAGTTGTGTTTTTATAATAAAAACGATGTGTTAAAAATGAACAGTACACCTTCTGTTCATATTTCTTTGCTGAGGAAAAGCTGGCACCTTTACAGGCCACCTGAACTGGCAGAGCACCAGGAAGAGTAGAACCTCTGTTCTGTTCAGACAAAGATGATCTGTTTTCTCTCGCCGAGCTTTCCGCCTGCTAACGTAATTACACCAGCAAGAACACCAGGGGGCACTCTCATACCGTCTTTAGGTACATTAAAATTAATTTTCCAGGAAACCTAAATCCGCGACACTTTAAATGTAGGAAGGGCCTCTGAAGCGTCGTATAACTGTTTCGTTAACTAAGAGGCATTAAGACTGCAAAAGAGTGTTGGAACCCATAGCATTTTAATGTAGCAGTTTTCTAGTAACCATTCAAAAACCGTTTCAGAACAAAGATAACATATATATTTTCTTTTTTCAAGGGCTGATGATAACATCATATTTACATGTATTTAGTTTATCGCAATCTTTATTCATTTACAGGTTTATACTGGTTTTTGTTTCACTGGTAAGGAGCGGGGCGTGTAATTGTTGATGGAGGTGCTGTCCACCAGCAGGTAAGAGGTCTAGCCGTGTTTAAAGAGTGCCATGGAGATTACCGTAGATGTGAACACCCTGGGGAGGCCATCATGCCATGATACATGTGCATGGCTTGAGACCTTAGTAAAGCTGGACTGTCACATGCTTTTAACACACCCTGATCAATGAGCATCCTGAACCCCACATTAGACACAAACTGACCACTTTCCTCTTTCTATCCCAATTTATTTTAAGGTATATTTTGTTTGGTTGGTCTCTGCCTTCCTGCATTATCCCTATACCCTCAGCAAACATTCAGACCAGTAGCTATACAGTATGCAAAATGGGAAAAGTTTCATGATTTTGCTTTGATCATTGAACTGCGAAAACAGTGCCACCTCCTGGCTGGTTTTTCCAGTGTTGGGGATTTTTAAATAAATCTGATTAAATGGTGGAAGTTGTAAGAAATATTTGTTTAAAAAATGGTTTTAATTACTCGGTGTTTAAATAAAGGAGGGGGTTTGCAAACACCTTATTTATCAAACTGTATAACATTATTTGCAGATACCAATTTTATTGGCAATTTTATTTCAGATTTAGGTGTTCTTGGTTTGCTTTATAATTGCTTTAACTGCTTAATTACTTGTACTGTAAGTGTTAGAGTAACTGACCAAATCCCTGGATAAAGTATTTTTTCTATTAGCATAAAAATATAACAGCGAGATGTTTGCAATATACCACCAGAAAGATGATTACAATTAGAAAAAGAGCAATTAGATGTCCAAGCTGAAAGTGATCAAAACAGAAAGTGTATTGTGATTAGATACATGCACCTTGTACATTGTAGCCAGGTCATTTCTGAGGCAACTATTAATAGACTATGTACAGTACAAAACATTGTAAACAGGATGCCTGTTGTTACTACCCCAGATATGTAATCTATCAAGTACAGAAGTTTTTCAACTAAAGGCAGAATGTGTTAGGGAACTGATATTGTTCTCTTTGTCACAAAGGCATAACTGCATTGCAATCTCTTCATTATTTGCCACCAAATCTTAGAAATGCTAAGTGTTTTTTATTCACATGTAAGTGGAAATTGGAAGAAAAAATGTCATTCAGAACTGGTTTGTCATTGTCTGAGCCTTTTAGTAATCTGCAGAAAATATTAATCATCTCTAGTCTTCATAAATATTTAATCGTCTGTGTCCGTATGTAATATATCCATTCACTGATGTAAGAGAACTGAAGAGCACCATAAGCTACCAGTTATTCGGTACGCCAGTAGTTGTATTTACTTAGAACGCTCAGTATTTCTCTTTGATTTCCAGCTGAAAAGCTTCAAAATCACAAAAATAAAAAAGTTGTCTTTTAAATGTACATTAACATTGAGTTAATGTGTGCAAACTGAACGCATTTCAGAGAAGAAAAAGCTTGCTGCCACACCTTCCTTGCAAAACTGACTCACAATTTGCAGATGAAAATCACCAACCTTCTGTTAAAACTATTAATTCACAACCATCCATGCATCATAATCCACACACAAGCACACAGGGGCAATTCTGAGACTCCAACTATCCCAGCCAGTATGTCTTTGGAAGGAAGGAGGAAACAGGAGCATCTGGAGAAGTCCACATGTGGAGAATGCAAACTGCACAAAATAATTGCTGTGCCTCAACCTGTCGTATCTGTGAGTCACTTTGGATAAAGGTGTTTGCCAAATAAAGAAACGTAGCAATCCCAGGACCTAACAGCTGCAGCATGTGTAACAATGGTACCTGCACTGCTTCTGCAATTCCCCTAAAGGACAATACTTTTCACAACAAATCATGAAACAGGACTGAAAAAACAGGACACAAAATTGCTACATTTACACAAGACTGCATTATATTTGTGAATTCTACAGGTTTATTTCTGAATATTATAACATTGAAATCACACTCTTGCTCAGTGCATGAAATTGCCCTTTTGTTTTCCTTGCAAATAAAAAACCTGAACTCCAATATATTATATAATACAGTGTTGCTGGAAAGAAATCCACAAGAGATACTGAGAGGCAGCAAATGAAGTGGAATGAGTGGGCATTTCTGTCCTCCAAAAAAGGCCTTATTTGGTAAACATGCTCCTTCAGTATGTTATCAAGTACACTTGTTGAAGTTGTTGATCCGACACAAAGCTGGGAAGCTGGCAGGAGTGAATACATATGAAGAAAGTTACAGTAATTGAGAAATACATGAGGGTTTGCTAATAATAGGCATTCTAAATACAGTGAAATAAAATTATTGAGTTTAAAACAACTTTACCTCATTAATTTACGCGAGTTATTTTATCAATAGAAATTAATGTGTGAAATAAATCTTCGTGTTTACTGAGTGATCCGTGTAAGCTCAAGTAAAAGGATGAAATGTTCGGGTTGTTTAACCGCAGTGCTGTTGACACACTGCGCTGAATGTTTTAGTTTGGCTTGCTGCGTCACTCGTGCATCACAGCTCTTTTCTTCAATGTACCTCTGAGTGGCAAACCCTTCTCACCTGGTCTTCCACTTCACAAAATCCATCCAGTTTCTATCCGCTTCTTCCAATTCGGGGCCGCGGCAGAGCCGGGGACTATCCCAGCAAGCCGTTTTAGAGCATATTTAACCGTAGTAGTATCATTTCATGTATTTATTTCTTTATTTTTCACGCTGTTCTGACATAGTGGGAAGATGGAAAGAGCCGCGCCTGCAGGACGGTCTGAGGATTCCACACTCCCAGTCAAGGCGCGAGGAGGGACGAGAGCTGGCGGAGATCGCCGGGCTGGAGCTGCGAAGGCTGGCCAAACAGGATAAGCGACAGCAGGGCAGGGCGACTGCGCCGTCGTGCAGCGCCGGCTGGAAGCAGGTACAGCTCCATACCACAGGCCCAGGGCTCGGCTGGACAGGCGGCGCAGGTTCGAGACAGACAGACAGATGTACTCGGGCTGGATGCAGGCTGGTTGTCCTTCTTGGAAGCTATGAGCACTTCTCTTGCCAGGAGGTAACTCAATGACAGAGCACTGGATCAGTGGCACATCAGGGATGAAATACCCTGGACTAATGGACTAATTAGCCATTAAGTGGGGGCAGGCGGTGGGGACAAGCCTCCCGAGCAAGTCCTGAGGGCCCCAGGAGGTTTTTGACTCCTCATGCGAATGTGGCCTGTTTCCACGGAACAGGAGGCACACCTGGCATTGCATCTTACTTTCTTTCCTGAAATGAATTGACGATTTTTTTTCCACATGACACATAAAAACACACTTACAGCACAGAAATTTGAAATATAGCCTTGACATTAAACACTAAAAAGTTTGTACACTATTAGCTTTCCATGGTAGAAACCAGTTCGTCTGTGGCTGAATGTATATCAGGCCCTTGAACACGTTTACTCAGCTGGACTGTCAGATGTGAAATGGCTTCAGGCGTGTAACTGGTTTGCTGTTCATGGTCATCACTGGTCCCCATGGGAATGACATCTTCTGAAGCAGACCCTGATGTCTGGGAGCTATTCGACCTCTTCTTGTCGGCCTTTGCTGCTTTTCTCTTCCAGTGCACTTTGGAGATTTTCTTCTCTGTGTCTTTGTAAAATGTGGTTAGTAGATTAAACAGAAGAGCCAACCATGCCATTCCAAAGAGTATCCAGAAGGCAACCAGACATCGATAATACGGTTTTGCTGTGTTGATGCCTACAGTATGTAATAAATGGAAATTAAGTTAATGAACACTTCAGATTTCACTAAATGCAATATCTTGTTTACTAGCTGTAATAATGCTGCCAGGTGCTTATATAGATTCATTCTGTTTGTTCCAAACACATTTTCAGTTACATAGCTGATCAGATTATTTCGTGAGCTACACACAGTATCTGCAATGCTTCTAACCAAGCTTCGAAGTTCTTCATGGCTGAACAGTAAACTTCAGTTTACTAGACCTTTCTTCAAGGCTTACACAATTTTATTTTAAGTCAATGTTTTGTGTAATCAGTCATATGAGACCTGAAAAAAATGTCTATATATGTCTAAAGGACTACTCACTCCAGTTAGACTGAAAACCCAAAGACATTAGGCCCTACAGGAATTGAGTCTGAGATGCTTACTCTTAAAAAATGGTGTTTTCCAAATTGGGTGGAGATTGTATAATGTTAAAATAAACATGCATTAACCTTGAGTTGCAAATAGCAATGGAGAAGGAGCACTGAAGATTTAATGTTTGTGCTTTGCAACTGCCTCCAGCTATCTATAGTAATGTGTAGATTTGCAGGGCTGTGAGTTGTATAGTTTAATAAACACTTGGCTTTTTAACTGCTGTCTATTTCTCCACCACTACTTAGTTCTAGGCACACAGTGAGCTTTTAGACAGTGGTAGTGGCTGTGGTCATAGCTGAAGCCACATCCATTGAGGTTTGCTTATTATCAGCAGTAAAGGTTTTGTGAAGTGAGCCATTAGGCATCATAAAAAGTAATCCATCTCACTTTGAATTAAATGGTGCTTTATTTGGATATCCCTGGACTAATGTTGACTCTGCATATGGCACTTTTTAATGCAGAAATTGGACATCAGTGCAGCTAGATTTAGTTTTGCATGATGTAGCCTTGCACACAGTCCATTTCCCATGTTTGCTGTTGATTAGGAGACAGGTGGCTTTATCTGGATTATCACTTAAGCATAATCACTATGCTCTGCCTGCTGATCTCAAGACTGGAAACTTTTTATAACTGGATCTCCCTATTTTAAATCCACATAAAGAATAGAATCTAGAGCAAATAGGAAATTGTGTTTTTACCACATGGTATCTTGTGTTTCACTTTCACATTTCTTAGCTTCATATATTCATGGGACATAAAAGCAATTCTCACCAACAACATAGTCACCAAATCCAATCGTGCTGAGGGTGATAAACGCATAGTAGACTCCTTCTCTGTAGCTCCATTTTTCTGTGAGGCTGAACACGAATGGGGGTAAAGCCAGGAACAGGATTATTCCAACCACCAAGAAGAAAACAATGGTAAAAACCTTCACCCTTTTCTGCAACAGAAATAAAGGAAAATATTATGAAAATATTTCAGACCAAAAACTAATTTGTACTTTGTCTAACTAGTCTTTACGTAAGGAGTACTTGTTTGCATTGTGATTAATAACCATGCACAAAATACATCTGCCAGCACATAGTTATTATTTTTATTTTTAGAGGCAAATGTCTAAGATGGATGTTATGCTGGCATGGTGTTTAGCACTATTGCCTCATAGTTCTTCGATTCTAAGTTTGATTCTGAACTGAAGTACTTTCAGTTTGTCTTGCATGTCCTTTTTGTGTTCTTCAGCTGCTCTGGTTTCTTTTCTTCAAGAGTCATGCTAGCTAATTGAATTGAACCCTGCAATGGTGACACCTGACTGATGTATTACCCACTACTGCTACACTTAGCACTACTGCTATAGGTGTGTATAGGTACCTACTGCTGCTAGGTAAACTCTAAGTTGCCACAACAATCATATGAATCTTTCTGATAATGCATGCATGAATGCATGACAAAACAAATCTCAATAAAAATGTAGTATATATAATTCTCCCCTCTTCCTCCACCATTTGCCACTGAAAATGAAAATTCCCAGGCTATTTCCAGGCCCTATTGTTTGAAAATAGAGAAGTACAGCCAAGGTACATTGAAAACAGACCTTTTGAAAACTCTGTCGTACTGTGCCTTTAATTAAAACAACAACAACAACAACTACTACTATTTAAAAAGAAATTACTGCTGTGTTGAATGCATTCTACAGGGTATATGAGTATTTTGTTACCAGCAATTTCAACTACACCTCATCCATTCCTCTGTTGTATAGTCGAGTCCCCAGCTTCTCAGTCCAAGAAGACAGGATCTTCCCCACATGGTTCAGAACAATTAGGTTCAGGGGAATTCCAAACATCGCAAAGAGAACACAGAACATTTGGCCTCCTGCTGTCCTTGGAGCCAGGTATCCATAACCTGTATAGACACACTGTTAGTCACTACAGCTCTACGAAATGTCCTTGTTTCTCATTTAACTGTCTCCATTACAAATATTTAAAATATTTTTTCTCTAGAATTCTTAAACTTTATTTATTTTCAACCATTTCATGAAATGAACTCAACGGGGGGCGGGTTCTTCTTCCTGATAGCATTGGTATGATAGCGCTCGATGGTAAAATAAATCGAATCAGCAATGCGAATTTATTTTCTTGCAAAATCACCGCAGCAATACTGGTAGCCTCTACATGATGTTCATCTGAAAATGTTCTCCATTGCACTACTGTCAGTCTGCTGTAGACCCTGAGCACTCATACAATGTAATTATGAACCGCTGTGATGAGACTTTACCTATAGTTGTTATTACGGAGCCAACAAAGAAGAAAGAACTGCTGAAGTCCCAGTTACTGCCATTACCCACAGGATTCACCCCACTTTTCACTGCTGCAGTCATGACCTACAAGACTCAAACGAGAGTAGCATGTGAAATTATCTGTACACAAACATTTGAAGTTAGAGGGCGAGTGACCAACCAGCAAAAAACCATCATATATTTATATATATATTCATAAATTCACTTTACTGAAACAAATGAATATGAGAGGCCATCTAAGTGTTCCAAGGGGGAAAAGGTATTTGTGGAAATTGTTTCAAAGTCAGACTTTTTTTTAAAATGGTCACCTTCCAAAAACAATCATTTTTCTCTGTTTTTTTTTTACAGTTTCTGTGAAGTAGGATTTGGCAGTTCTCCATTGTAACTCAAAGAAACGTGATCTTTTTTTACCCACGGAATACTCTGAAGATGCAGAAACATGTCGCCCTTTCCACAAACTCTATTGCTCATCACTTAATCTGTACTTGTATTCCTTCAGGCACCGCAATCCCGATGGCAAGAAACGCCACTTCTCCATTTGTAAAATTACTGCATACATTTAGCGTACTGTGCCAACTTTTAGGTGCTCGTATGTCTCTTTAAACTCAAAACTTCCACAAAAGAAAGGAAGTAACAGACTACTATTAGTATGTTAGTAGGAACATGTCAACATTGTTAACAGTGCTAGGAGGAAAGAGCTCTTACCTCAACAAAAGTTTCCACAGCTTCTTTGGTTAAACATGTGTAGTTTTTTAGAAACAGTAACTTCTGGAGGTACATTTCTTTTCTCATCTCTTCCTCAGAATGCTGTTCCAGCGCTTGAAAGACAGCAGCTCCCATAAGTAAATAAGCAAGGTACCCGATAATCATTAATACCGTTCTGGCGCAGCGCGAAGACATTTTTATTAAAGATTCCGGATTGCTCAATACGGAAAAAGCACTCTATGTAAACTTAGTAGTTTATATTTAGTCGTAATTACATTTTAGACACTGGATTCTTTGCATATATAATGTACTGAAGGAATTCATGTCCTCGCAGATTCTAAAGTTTCTTTTTCTTTCATCATGTGCGATATATATCAAGAAATGAATATGCTACGACAGAAAACGAGGTAGACGATATGACCTTTAAATCCCCGGTCTGGGGAAAGAGGAGTGGTATAGCTCTGTTTTGACGACCCCAAAGCGGAAATACCAAGGTACATTTCATTGGTAGAAAACTATTACGAGGTGGGAGAATCGTAAGAAAAATAATAAGCGCTACAGAGAGTATCCTAACTGCTCAGCTTGCCAGGAAGTTTCTGTGAGGAAACAAATTGAAGAGGCGCTAAAGAGACCGAGGAGGGTAAAGTCCATGGATGAATGACGTGCAGAGGCTGTCAGAATTAATGTAAATTTAAATGCCAAAAACAGGATTTTCTCCTTGCATTTGTTTAACTTTTAAGTCACACATTCATTTTTATCGATTTGAGTATCATCTACATATCCAAAATCAACTTAATGTACAGAACAGTGTTGTGTCTTACGCTACCGGTGTTTTCCAACGTCGGCTCGCTGTGTTCTATCCTGTGAAACACTACAGGCGCGCATCCAAATATATTCTCAACCTGTATGGTTGAACTGCGAGGAGTTATTAGCCTTGATTTCGGATATTCAATCAAACCTAATCAATTGCGTTTTAGGAATTAGGAAATACATTTGTATGACCTAGCTTCCTGTGCATTTTTTTTTCCATTCCATGAACAGCTCAGCTGATTCTTTATTAAATTAATCGCTGTGTTCCCAGTAAACAGGAATATCCGTCTTGCCGTCATTTAAGTTTCCACATCTTGGCACGTTAAAAATGTTAGGAAGTCAGGAACTAAGAAACAAATAGTCTTTGACAATTTCCTGCAACAATAGTACATCTCTTTGAAAAACAAAAACAACATGACAAAAACTGCAGATCATCGTCCTCTCATGCTGTATTCTGAAGTCTTAGTTTCGTGGCTTTTTTTTAGCAGTTCGTCACACGTACAGTAATATGAGTGGTTTATTTTTTTTATGAATTAGAAAAACGCAGAACACATCTAGTTCAAGTTTTGGTTTCGGTGCCAACAGGAACTATAAAACATAAGAACATAAGAAAGATCACAAACAACCAGAATGCCACTGGTCCATCTAGCTTTTTCGTAAAATGGAAGACTCACTGTGTTGAAATAGTGCCATACTGTACCTAACCTAAAACTGCTAAGGCCTCTTTGCACTGCGAGATATTGAGATGTGTGCCTTGTTCTAAAAAGGACACGGAATGGGTGTGGAGCTTTTATACTCCACAATCTACCGCAAACTCAGTTCTATTTAACAATATTTATATGTTTAATATTGTTTCTGGTCCTTACACAGGAAAGCATGGCAGTTCTTGCAGTTAGTAATGAGATGATATATTGTTTCCCTGGGAAGCATCTACCACAAGACAATGTGCAAGATATTGCAGAGAGGATGAAAGATTTCCTGAGTCTATTACTTTCACACTGGGGACACAGAGATGTCTTCTCTCCAGACAGGAGTATTATAAATTCACAATGGAAAGGGTGAGACACACACACACCATAACTTCTTTGCAACCTATTGTTTGTACAGGATATTTACGTAGATTTCCCCCCAATTATTTTGCTACTTAATTTCACTTATTTTCTAAATCTATTACAATTAATGGCACTGATGTTGCCAAACCAAAAAGTGAGACTGTATGCTTACACATTTTCAATAAATGACCCACAGAAAACTGTTAAAATGGTTCTCTCTACCTTAAAATAGCCATGTTTCCTAAGAAAGGAGTCTCTGTTGGTGTTTTTATATAAATGGTGTCCCATCTCAGATTTCTGTCTGTAACCAGTACCTGAAAACTTTCAATAGGCTGACTTATTTATAGTAGGTTGGAGGAATATTGCATTTTTAATAACCTCAATGAGCAGTTCCTTTATTTTGAAGGCAGTTAAAGAGAACTCATCGCACTGTTTTGTGAAATCATTTGGAATGGGCCCGTAATGATTTTCGGGACCTGGAATAAGCTGACCAAGGCTTTTCCATAAGCAGACTTGAAGAGATGTCTATGTGATTTCTCTTAATGTACTGTGGGTGAGGGGAGGGTCAGGACATGATGCCCAGTGGTCATCATGTGGTTATCCCTATTGGACTTGTTGAAACTTACGGTTATGAATGATCAATTAATAAAAACTACACCAGAGACAATGATCAGATATCCAAAAAAAATGGTGGGAACAAAAAATTAAAAAAAAAAGCCCCCAAAAAAGAAAAAACAATTTCAAGGAAAAAGGAAAAAAAGGAAAAAAAAAAAACAATGTAACAAAATAACAGTTATTCCCCGTAATGCTTTTATGGTGAATACCCAAAAGATGGCGATAGTGTCTCTGTGTTTGAGTTTTCAAAGTCAAGCTTGAAGGCTTTGCGGCGGAGCAGGAAGTTGAATTAGCAGATACTCGCGATACTGTCTTAAAAACTACTTCCCGGTTGCAGATCCAAAATTGTCAATGATTAATGAAATAGCGCGAAAAAAGTGATGATGATGATGATGATGATGATGATGATGATGGTGATGATGATGATGATGATGATGATGATTATTATTATTATTATTATTATTATTATTATTATTATTAAAGAGTAACACATTGCACATAATGATCGGATTTACCGTGTTTTGCATCGATGTTAACCACGTTTAAAATAAAATTATTATATTACAATTTAAAAATGTTTAGTTTAAGTGCATGTATTAAAATGGAATAGCACCTTGAATAACCCCTGTTTAATGTGTTTCAGTATGGTTCATAAATCATGTTTTTTTTAAGACACCACACACTCTTTACACGAATCACCGCTGTTTCTGTTGCTCGCATTAATAACCTCTTAAAGTTATGATTTGTTTTGCTAATAGGCAGTTTCCTGAAGTTGTCCCACGAGGAAAAGCCTAATTGAAAACAACACCAGATTTTACGCTAATACAAGTTTATGAGACCTATCGGGGCACCTTTTGGCAGTTTTACAGTTGTTCCAAAAGAGCTATGTACCCGCATACATAAATGAAAGAAATGTTCAATTCTAGTTATAGAAATCTTGATGTGTAAGACATAGACATCTGTATATGTTTGATTCTGTGCAGTTGGTTTCACTAGATATTTGGGGATCAACAGATCTGTATTTGAGAATTGAGAAATTAAATGTAGTGTCAGAATGATAAAATAATAAACACCCAAACTTCTCAGGAATAAAAGAAGTGTGGTGCTGAGTGAAGAGTTGTGAAGACAGGTTTCAAGCTCATCCATTCATTGCTTCTCAAGAGGTGTCCGCACACAGACTGCCTCTTCAGTCAAGTGTCATTCTCTCCAATCAGAGGCCGCTCTCATGAGTTTAATTGAATTCACTGTAACGAGTGATGACTCTCTCTCTTTCTCCCTACTACATCCATGACCCATGCTTAATTCTCTCTCCTCACTGTAACAAATAACAGACGTCTCAAATCACAATGTACACATTGAAATGTCTTTCTAGAGGGCGAAAGTGTTTGATTTTAAGCAGCTCCAAATTTTGCTATGAGTTTCATTAAGCACTCCTTCTGTTAATTGGGTCCACCGGAAATATCACATAACTACAGATAGTCCATCTTAAGCATAGTTCTGTTCAAATTCATTTCCGATTGGAGTGTCTTATCTTCCAACAGTATGAAGGTTGTGGGTTTGGAAGACTGCCATCCACAGCCCCCAGAAACAGCCCTGCTATTGTTAATGCTTATTTTATACCAGTTCCAATTCTGTTTCTATTGTTTTTCTTAAAAGCATGTGTGTGCATTCCCCTGCTTTATGTGGTATCATTGTGGCTGCTTTGTAGGTCAGATCACACTAAAAACCCATAAAAAATACCAAGAAGAGAAGCTGGTTGAGAACATTGGCTGAGCAGTCAAAAAGTTGACAAAGAAATGAATTTCTGCAGGGCCATCACATCATTGCCCTTTTCTGCTTGTATGTAGTGTGTGCCAACTTCAACCTCTATGCCTAGAGAAGAACACATCCTTTGTTCTGTATAGTCTAATGCAGTGTGGTTTACAGAAACTGGTGTATGCTGAGGTCCACATTAATTAATCTCAGCTTTTTAAACAATAGCTGACACATTATTAATCACCTTCCTGTTGTTCAGGTGCAGAGACTGAAGCCATGTGAACAATGTCATTTATCACATCTTGGCCAAATCAAAACCATCTATGAATCATTACCTTTCAAGTAAGGATTTGTGTATATAGACAACCAGAGTTGAATTTTCCACTTGTTGAAACCAAAAACCAGAAGGTAAACCTAAGAGCAGTTTGAGTTTTTTAGGTAATTATCCACATAGTGAAGTCTGAGAATTTAATACAGTTTATTAATGAAAACTTGAAGCAAAAGTGGTTAGTGGTATTTCTGTTCCTTCTTATGTGGATTTATTATAGGTTTCTCTCATCCACAGCAAAGAGGTATTTCAAAAATACAAGTGACAAGCTTACTTTCAGTCTCACAGCACTGGCTTGTGACTCAACGCATTGATGATGAGAGATTCCAGACACAATGGTAGAGAGGGGGGCTTTATCTGAAGCACAGCTTGGAAAACACCTGAAAAAGGTAAATTATTGAAACAAAATATGCCGAAGTGGCTTGAATTATGTCAAATCAAAAATGAAATTGACAAGGAATGTAATGGGCAATTGATTTGGTGGCTTTATTGTATTTGAATCAATTACTCACCACTATTATTGTTTTTTAGCAATGAAAGTTTGAACGTGAACTTGTGGTGTGTTGCATTAAATTGATGTTAATAATTTAAATTAATACTTTGGTAAGAAAGATGTTTAAATGAAACAAGCTGAGATTAATTCAAAGCTGTATTCATAAAAGACAAAAAACCTTTTCAGTTACAGAGACAGGTGGCCGTTTTTGAAGGCTTTTTCAAAGGTCGAACTTTTATCTTTTCTTGCCTTTTCTTTCAACTTGGAATTATCTCCTACTTAGTTCCTTTGCAGGTCTCACACTGACACAACTCCCCGATCTCCAATAGATTTTATAATGTTCACTTTTGCATCCTGAGTCTAAAAAGCATGTCTGAGTAAGGGAAAGCTGAACACACTTCCAGCTGTCCTACATCAGACAAACAATGAGAGAGTAAAGACTTTGGAAGTAAAAATGAAAAAGAAGCCAGTCTGAAAGATTTCACACTAAATTTGTGAAATAAACAACTGTTTCAGGCTTCTTACCTAAATTGAGCCTTTGCTCACCATACTAACGAGCATGGCTCATTAGTGCCCGTGGCCGTAACAATAAACAGGCCTAACCAATCTCTCCAGCAGTAACACTTACAGGCAAAGCTTTTAAAGTGTTGCTCAGTGTACTGTACATAAAGCAGATGCAGGAATCCAGTATCATTGTTTTATTTTTGTTACAGAGTTAGGGAAAGGTGAACAAGCTTGGCTCTAAGCACAATAACAGAAAGTCTGCCAAAAAGACATTGTGTTTTGGAAACTGTTATTCATCCTGTTTGTGACTGTTTTATTAGTGACCTGTTTCCCAT